CTCCTAGTTTCCCAGGGAATCTCTCTATTTTTATGATTCTCTGCCTCCCCCTGACATCTCTGTGTTCAAAAGTTGTATTGTAACAGGAGGAAGCATTCTTACATCCAGAAAAAGCAGTTTGTTCCTTGTTGAGGGAAAGGACTCTTCCAGGATGTCCAGGAGTTCTGGGGAAGCTGAGAGAAACCTGGGGGTTATTTTCCAGTCAAACTGAGGACAGACAGAGTTCTTAGGTAGTACTAGCCCTAAGCACTAGGCTTCTTGCTGAAAATCTGGAGGCTTTAAACTGCCCAGGGGTGGCTGCAGAGACAGACCAGGCAATGTTCTTTTGACAAGTCAGACCTGGGGCTGAGCGATCAATCCTATTCCAGAGTTAGGACACTCTCTGGGATTCAAGTTAGAGCATGAACATAGCAAGTTAGAGCATGAATACAAGAGCAGAATGAAGTCACATCTGAAGCCCACATGCTGGGATCCCTCCTCACACAGGACTGTGCACTTTGGACTCAGGACTGCTCTGATTTTAATTTTCTCCTCCTCTCTTTGTCTCTAGTTAAGAAAGATCACTTAATCCATGCTTGTCTTGTAGTTTATGATTTATATCATACTATTCCATCTGTATGCTGAGCAAATTTAAGGAAGTGGACTATATGAAGAACATGACTTCAGGGTTGGAGCAAACCTGATTCAAAACCTGTGATATGCGGATGACACACTCTTGTCTGCTGAAAGTGAAGATGACTTGAAGCACTTACTGATGAAGAACAAAGATTTCAGTCTTCTGTGTGGATTACAACCCAACTAAAAAAAAAAAAAAAAAAAAACAATGCACCACAGCTGGACCAATAACCAACAGCAGTACAAAGGGAGAAACGATGGGTGTTGTAAAATAGTTAGTTCCACCTAAGTGCACAATCAGCACCCATGGGAGCAACAGTCAAGGACTCAGACACCATAGAGCACTGGGTGAATCTGCAACAAAGATCTCTTTAGAGTTAAAAAGCAAAAAAATGTCACTTTGAAGACAGGGTCCACCTAGCCCAAGCCAGAGAATTGGCAATAGCCTCATGGGCTTGCGGAAACTGGACAAGGAATAAGAAAACAAGAAGAATGGATATATTTGAATTCTTGTCTTCGGAAAACACTGAAAATACCATGGGATACCACAAGAACAAATAATCTGTCCTGGGAGAAGTGAAGCCAGAATGCTCCTTGGAAGTGATAAGGCCAGAGTTCATCTCACCCACTTTGGTCATGTTGTCAGAAGGGATAATTCCATGGAGAAGGACGCCATGCACAGTAAAGTAGTGGCCAGGGAAATCCATCAATGAGGTGGACTGACCCAGTGGCTGCAGCGATGGCTTAAAGCATAACTAGGATTGTTAGGATGGCCCAGGACCAGACAGTGTTTGGTTCTGATGTACGTAGTGTCACTGGGACTTCGATGGCACCTCACAGCACAAAAAACATGTCATTTATATTTGCCAATTAAAATGTTAATATTACCAATCAGTGTGTTAAGGTATATTTTAGTCTGTGTTCTCCAAGAAATAAACAAGATTAGATTAAATTTGATTGGAGTTTATGGGGAAATAGCTTCATGAGAGAAAATGAAGATGGGTCTGTCAGCTGAGGATGTAATGTGGGGAGTCAGGGATGGACGGGGTGTCTGGGTTCCCTACACTGCTGTGCAGTTAAAGGAAGAAGCTCCAGGAGGCCCATGGGGATCACAGACCCTTCAGAGTAGCCCGTGTGTCCCAGGGTCTGAACCGACTTAGGAATGCTGCCACTCCTGGCCCTTGGGTGGGAGTATTCCTCAGGTCTAGAGGCTTCTGCACACACAAGGTGATCGTTCACACACAGCCCTGGATCCTTGGTCAATGACACTCTCTGTGGTTGGAGGAATGGGAGTCACACTCTGGGGTCTGCAACATGCTTTATAGTGTTTTATAAAATCAAACAATGTATTATCTTGAATATCAATATACACTTGGGTTGTGTTTGTTTTCTGGATCTTATTGATTGGAATGCTTCTCCAACTAGTGACCTTCTCATATGTGGAAATCTCAAATCTTTTTTCTGACCAATGTTAGTCTCATGTTCGCCCTGACCTCTCATTAGAGTGAAGACTGTCACACCTCTCTTGTTAATTCTCTGACCCTTCTCTACTTTTAACTCTTTTTATTTGTAGTGAGTGACAGATCCTATCTTCCAAAACATGCTCCCGATATTTAATCCCCTTTCTTAAAGCATTCAATTTAAGTGAATGGTTTCATGTGTGCTTCCAGGAGGAAGTAGACATGATATGCATTAATAAACAGCTTTGTATTTAGTAGAAGGATAGGTCCAGGATACTTTACACTGAACTCAACTGGGAGGCTTATTTTGTGAAAACACCAAAATAGAAGTAATAGGAGTGTATTCAAAAAACCAAACTCACTGCCATAGACTCAGTTCTAATAACAGTGACCCCCCACTTGTTTTCCAAGCTTGCTTGTACAGAAGCAGAACACCCCATCTTTCTTCCATAGAATAACTCTGTGTGTGTGTGTGTGTGTGTGTGAGAGAGAGAGAGAGAGAGAGAGAGAGAGAGAGAGAGAGAGAGATTCAGGTGAAAATTTACAAAGCAAATTCAACTTCCATACAGCACTTCACATACACTTTGTCTCATGACATTGACTACAATGTACCACAATGCAACAACTCTGCTCCTACTTCCTCTCTATAATTAAGATTCTGATGAAAATGACTCCCTGGGATTCTGCTTATCACTTGGTGAGCTGACTCAGCTGTGGCTGCAGGGGGTGGTCATATGGGTAGGGAACGTACATAGTCCCTCGCAGGTATTGTGAGAGCTCTGAATTCCCTTTAAAAGACAGTGTTACCTTGTTCCTTTCGTTTAGTTTTCTCAATTTTATTCATTTACTCGAGTGTTGTGCATAATGCTTTAACCTTAGCCTAGTGCTTTGCATAGCATTCATTGTGTTTTAAGGAAGAAGTAGAGCCCATTCTTTCATTGTTTCTCAATTAGCAGCAAAATAATGATTCCATAAGCTCCTAAGTCCATCTGCATTACTGGATTGTCTCACACAGCTATGTCCTTTAAGCCTCTCCCCTTTTCTCTCGTCAGAGCTTTTCCAAACGTTCTCTGATGATGTCATGATTGAAACTCAGCTCCTGGTTTTCCAGTTAATCCCCAAAAGCTGCCATCATTTTTGGTGATCTCAGTGTCTTAGTGACTCCTGTTCATCTCACCTGCTGCCTCAACCACTTTCCCCCTCTCCTGGTATTCTTCGTTTTAGCCAGGATCCATCTGACATCAGCAGTGACATTCCTCATTCCATGTCCTCTTCTGACTTCATCGTGCATTTCTGGAAGTTACATATGTATGCATAACTTTGGTTTGGAAGACAGCTGCCTGGCCAACTGAATGGAGGAGATCCATAGTTGTGCCCATTCCAGAGAAAGCTGATCTGACAGAAAATGGAAATTATCAAACAATATTATATATATATATATATATATGTGTGTGTGTGTGTGTGTGTGTGTGTGTGTGTGTGTACTTATATTTATATTTATATCAAAAATGCAAATAAAATTTTCTGAAGGTAATTCAAACCTTGGTTGCAACAGTATACTGACTTGGAACTTCTAAAATTCAAGCTGGATTCAGAAGATGACAGGGAACAAAGTATGTCATTGCTGATGTCACAAAGCCCGTGGCTGAGGGAAAATCTCAGAATGCTGTGGGAGCTACAATTGTGTGTCAACGTGGCTGGGCCGTGGTTTGGGTGGCTGGTCAGCTGGGTGCAGTTCCCCATGAGGAGACTGAATGTGTGTAATCAACTCCATGGAGGAATCTGCTGTGAGCAGCTAATTGCTTGCTTTGGGGATGTGGCCTGCTTTATAAGGAGGTGGTTTCATTAAGGTCTCTACCTTCTTGGCACATCAGGGTCCTGGATTTCACTGAGTTATCAATGATCTGACATGTTGTCTGTTCACTTTCTAGCTGTGTCTGGACTTGAAATAGTGACCTAACATGTTGTTTCCTTATCTTGGGACTTTGCCATTTTACTTGTTGACCTTGGATTTGTGAGCCTGAGCAGCCGGCAGCCACTTAAATGAAGAGATACCTTCAGCTCCTGGTGGCTAAGGGCAAGACACAGCTGAAGCCTGAGGTTGAGATGCCTTCGCTTCACCCCCAGAGCTGGCACTTTGAACTCAGGTCTCTAGCCTTCTAACCTGTAATTGAATAAATTTGTGTTATTTTAGCCATCCCCTTGAGGTATGTCTTTTAAAGCTGCAGTAGAGAAGCAAAGCAGAGGTCCACTTGTGTTTTATTGACTATGCAAAGGCATTTGACTGTGTGGATCATAACAAACTATAGATACCATTGCAAAGAATGGGAATTCCAGAACCCTTAATAGTTCTCATGAGGAACCATAGACCAAGAGGCTGTTTGACCAGAAAAAGGGGACATTGCATGGTTTAAAGTCAAGAAGAGTGTATGTCATGGCTTTATCCTCTCACAATATTTGTTCCATCTGTATGTTGAACACAGACTCAAATCCTGGATTACTGTTACCTAGTAAATGCTTTTTCATACTGCACAGATTTCAGTGAACAACTTTGTTTTTTACATCTGGAAAATGGAGGTAGTGTTGACATGTACCTCATATGGTTTGTGTGCACATGTGAAAATGAATAAGATAATGGGAACAAAGGGTTTAGCTCAGCACAATCATATAAGGAATTGTTTTCGCAAATGCTGTCATTGCCATCAAACTCCCCCAGAACACTTATGTCTGCTCTGAATCACTTTCCTCTCTGAAGTCATCCAACCACATAGTTTGCTATATAGGAGGAAGATATGTAAATAGGGTCCGTCCCTCAGCTGATGAAAACCAGGCCAGCCACAGCCTGCAGCTCTTGGAGAGGAGCCCCAAGCCTGGCATTAAAGGTGACCCCATTCAGTGATCAGGACTGAACGCAGACGAGTCCCCATGGAGTCTGTGCTGGGCTGGGTTTTCCTTGTTGCTATTTTAAAATGTCATTTTATGGGGAGCAGTTTTTTGTGAATGGGCACGGGTGAGAGAAACAGTGGACACGTGTGATGGTTTCCTGACCAGGATGTCTCTGTGTTTGCAGGTGCCCAGTGTGAGGTGCAGCTGGTGGAGTCCGGGGGAGGCCTGAGTCAGCCTGGGGGGTCTCTGAGACTCTCCTGTGCAGCCTCTGGGTTCACCTTCAGTAGCTACTGGATGCAGTGGATCCGCCAGGCTCCAGGGCAGGGGCTGTACTGGGTTGGACGAATTAACCCTAATAGTAGTACTAAGAACTACGGAGACTCCGTCAAAGATCGATTCACCATCTCCAGAGACAACACCAAGAACATGCTGTATCTGCAAATGGACAGTCGGAAAGTCGAGGACACTGCCGTGTATTACTGTGCAAGAGAAACAGTGAGTGGAAGTCAGTGTGATCCCAGACACAAACCACCCCTGCAGGCATATGGCCGGGCAGCAGGGGGCCCTCCAGACCCACCAAACTCAGTATTCAGACCCAAGAGCAGGTGCAGATGAAGTTTAAGGGCTGGTTTCCTGCTGTTGTCTTGGGATACTTCATCTCACATTTCCCCTAGGGAATCTCTCTATTTTTATGATTCTCTGCCTCCCCCTGATATCTCTGAATTGAAAAGTTGTAACAGGAGGAAGAATTCTCAAAGATGGAAAAGAAGTCTGTCCCTTGTGGGTGGAAATGACTCTGTCAGGATGCCCAGCATCAGAGCTCTGATGAAGCTCAGGGAAGTCTGGGGAGTATCTTCCAATCAGACTCAGGGCAGATGGAGTCACTAGGCATCATTCATGGTTAGACGCCGATGACCAGCTCCAAGGCTGGCAGTTTGAATCCAATCAGTAATGTCTTGGGAGGCAGGCCTGGTAATCCACCCCTGAAAGGTCAGACTCAGGGCAGAGACTGCAGTGGGGTTTCCCAGTTAGGACACACTTTGGCATTCAGGGTAGAGCCAAGAAGGTGGCTAGGTGACTGTCATGACACATAAAAGCAGAATGAGGTTCTGCTGACCCTCCTCCTCACATAAGAGTGTGTGGGTCAGAGGTAGCTCTGGGCTGGTGTCGCATTTTCTCCTAGTCTCCATTCATTGTCTCCAGTTCAGCAAAGCCACCTAATTCATGGATGGTATGGAGTTTTTATATTTGCCAATAGAGCATGTTCCTATCATCATAACTTTATTATAGAGTATGTGTCAGTCTGGGTGCTCTAAGATGGAACCAACAAGACAGGATTCCGTTTGTCTGGATGGTATGTGTGAGAGACAAGGCAGAGGAGGCCAGGAAGGTGGGGGAACTGTGAGGCACGATGCCTGTCTGATCACTGGAAGAGCGGGAGGAAGGGTTGGTGTGACTTCTTCAACTGCTGTGTCTTCTTAAACTGCTGTGCAGTCCAACGTGGGTCCAGGAAGTCCATCCGGGCCATCAATGCAAAGGTGCCCTTCAGAGGAGCCTGTGTCCATCAGGAATGAGCCTGACTTTAATATCACGGCGGCTCCTTAAACTTGGGGGTGGGCAGTCTCTGGACTTGCAGCTTCAGCACCCACAACGGAGGGATGTTAGAGCACAGCGCTGGTCCCTTGTTCATTACACCCCCTGGAGTTGGAGGAATGGGAGGCAACTCTCACAGCTGATACACTCTTCACAGAGCTTTTTATGGACTGTCTACTTGTCTGTCACTTTTTCAGACTGGGGGGACTTGCATGTTGCTGGGAGGCTGCAGGTCATTCCAACTCGATTTCAAAGCCCAGCAAGGCCACCCATGGACAAGTTTCAGTGGAGCTTCCAGACTAAGACAGACTGGGAAGAAGGACTGGGCCATCTATTTCTGAGAGAATTGGCTACTGAAAACCTTACGAATAGCAGTGAAACACAGTCTAGTATATGAGAAAATGTGGTATGATTTGCTTCTCTTGGAGACCCACTGACATTTGGGATGCGTGTGTTCTTTAGATTGTA